TTGTTCTCCACCCTTCACCAGCTTCGTTGCCCTTCTCTGGACACGCTCCAGCACCTCGACGTCCTTCTTGTAGTGAGGGGCCCAAAACTGAACACAGTATTCGAGGTGCGATCAAACTGTAATCAAAATGTAGCTATTGGGAAAAAAAAAAATTGCAAAAAATTGTTTTAAAGACAACCAACAGTGAACCAATACATTTTTATTAGCACAAAGGCTTTTTATATGAGAACTATTTACTCATTCCATCCCCGCCTGACTACTGCTCTACTATTAAGGAGAAAATAGATGCTGAGATCAGTAATCCCAAATGTATTTGGTAGTAAATTCACGACTCACTTTTCCTTCTGAGGTGACCTTTAATACCTGTGTTACACATGAGAATTGTGCAAGAAATATTAGCATGTTGGGAATACAGATTCATGTACATTGTTAATTGCAATCAGAAATCTACATACCAAACATTAGATAAACATTAAATGATCAATCATAAAGTGATCATTAAAACACATTTTTGGAGGGTTTTTAAAATATATCAGACATATAAAAACAAACTACAGTTTAGTCTGAAGGCTAGTGGCTGCTGAATTTCAGCTCTTACAGAAAATACTACAATGTCATTTTGCATTTGTGCGACTTAAAAACGGTAACTTAAATGAATCATTTGTTTGAATACTAATGCATTTTTTTAGGAAGCTTGCTACTTAGCTTTGGGTCCATACACATAAGAGGAAGTACTCGATGAAATGAACAATTCACGTATTTCTGTCTGGCTTGTTGGTAGGGTCATTACACGGTCAATTCTTCAGAGCTATAGTCATCTTGGGCATTTCAAGTGAAAGATACAGTGTAGTGTTGCTGTAAAATTGGTTGCAGCAACTTGAAGGCAAATTCTGCTTTAAGGTAGTGCACTCATGTACCTCATCTTTTAGGAACAGTATAGCATTTTCATTCATTTTCCACCTCCCTTTGGCCTTATTTTTTCCTTAGTTAAAATTCATTAGAACAACAGGGTACTTGTTAAGATCCAGATGGTGTCCCTGCTTTATTACCCATAAGAGTGATGCATTAGTACCAGCAAGAATGTATATGAAGATTCTTTCAAAATGCATCATCTGAATTCAATGTTGGAATAATGTTAGGTATTTTTTATTTTTATGTCTATTGTCATCTTCTGTTGCCAGCTGAATAAAAATAGAACTGGACAAAGGAAGTGAGATACAGTGTTTCACCTGTGAAGGAGCGATACTTTTGTATTATTGCAAGCTGCTTTGGATAGTTTTTATTTCACAGTGTACTGGCAGGAAGCACCTGGAAAATCAATTGCAGAATTCTGTAGGCCCTGAAAGTGAGACATAGCCTGTTAAAGGAATGATTTTCTGTTTCCAAATTGAATGGCCCATGGCTTTTTTTAAACCAACACTCCAAAATATTTTCCTAAAAGCTGTGTGTGTTACTCTGCTGAGAAAAAAATCTTGCCTGTTTTAGTATTCAGACAAATGATAGTTGTGAAATTAACAAATCATGAATCTTTGAACTAGAATAACTAAATTTAGTGCTTAAATGTCACATGAGATACAACCTGAAAGAAAGAGAAAGAACTTCACTGTAACCTTGGTTGTCTGAATGAGTTTATATTGTGCATGTCTCTTTTTTTTTTTTTTTTTAAGCTGTTGGATTGTCATTGTTTCAGGTCTAAAAGAACTAGTGAATTTTGGGCTTAGCATACTTGGAGTGTGGTTTGTTTATTTTCTGTTTGAGATACTAATTTGTTTCTGTTTAAACTAAAATAGATTTTAAAATTTAAAATCTATTTTTAAAATTGACAAATAGGAACAGTACTGCAGTGTTAGTTCACTTCATTATAAAGCTTCATCATTTTGATAAGGCTTTACCAAGTCCCTGAATATCCTTTTGAATTTTTTCTCAGCAGAAGAATACAGCCAGTGAATTCATAGAGTTAATAACATATGTTTTATTCATAAAGAAGCACATTTACAGTGGTCCACATTTACAGAATGTGTTCAGTCCAGGGTATTCTTGGCAAATAGGAATAATCACATGATAATCACATGTATCTTTGATACAGTTTTTTAAGAGCAAAGCAGATTTGCTCCATTCCTTATCACAAACCTTAGATTCAGGATTAAAAAAAAAATACTTTCTGCATGGAATATGAACAAATGGCATAATAGCAAGAATAGCATAATTCTACTGGAAGCTAGTGACTATGGAATTGAATAACTTGTTGTATGTAATAATCTCCCATTCCATTGCAGATCTTTTGTTATAATGGGCTGAACTGATAAACAGAGAAATACCATTTCCTTAAAAAATATATTCTTAAAGGATATGGCACAAACTACTATATATGTATTATAGCAGTTATAATTACAGAATACATGTATGGAATATGTACGCACAGAGTAGCGAGTTGCAGAAACACAGAGCATCTAAAGAATGAGCATCAGCAGTGCGTTGTTGGGAAATAGATTTGCAAAGCTCTGACAGAGTGTTCTAGTGGTAAGCTCTCTATCCTGAGGTAGAGCAAGAATAAAAACTTGGCCTCTTCTGGAAACTGTGTTTTTCATAGAATCATGGAATCATTTAGGTTGGAAAGGACCTTTAAGATCAGCAAGTCCAACCGTAACCTAGCACTGCCAAGTCCACCATTAAGCCATGTCCCTAAGCTACATGTCTTTTAAATACCTCCAGGGATGGGGACTCCACTACTTCCCTGGGCAGCCGGTTCCAATGCTTGACAACCCTTTCAGTGAAGAATTTTTCCTCATGTCCAATCCAAACCTTCCCTGGCGCAACTTGAGGCCATTTCCTCTCATCCTATCACTAGTTACTTGGGAGAAGAGACCGACACCCACCTCGCTACAACCTCCTTTCAGGTAG